TTCTATTTTAATGGTAGCCCAAAAAGTAGGGTGAGGCATACAAATCTCCCCTTGGCGGTCTTCGAAGTGACTTCTCAGAAGTTGTTCCAGGCTACGTAGCTCTACACGACCTTTCTGTGGCCTCTTCCTTTCTCCATGGAGCTTGAGTTCTTTCCACTTAAAATCCTCTTCAGCTCTTATTAACACTGTCTCTGCTCATACATAATTTTGCAAAAGGCTCCAAAAGATGCTACATTTTTGACAAGGGCTATATGTGCAGAACTAACCTCACCCACATTCCAAATTACCTTTAAAAAAAAAAAGGAGTATCAATAATGCTCTTAGAGAGTTCCACCTCTTACTCAGCCCAGCAGAGAAAAGGACGGACCATTGCAAAAGCACCTGCTTCCTCACATACTCCATCTCATTTGAACCTCACGATGGCAACTTGTATGGAAGGTCTTATCTCCGTTTGGAGGTGAGAAAAAGGAAACCGGGAGAATTTCAAATAAATCGTGGGCGTTTGCAAACAACATAGACGACATAGCTGGGATTTGAAACCATATGGGTTTAATTCCAAAACCCATGTTTTTTCCATGATCCTACACTGTTCTCCCAGGTGAGGAGGACAAGGGATAATATTCTCCACACCACTTCTAGAATAGGCACACTAATTCCTTGGGTGACACACGACTCGTCTCAGAGGTTTCTGCTTCCTTGCCCCGTGTGGTGGCCTGATGACGTCTCTCCTGAAGACGAGGTGGGGTGACGAGGTGCGCAGGCAGATGCCAAGTCGCACAGCTGCCATCTGTCTCTCTGCTCTTTTGACCCCCCGGGGAGAGGACTCGGCCAGGTCGGGGAAGAGACCCCTGGTGAGCTTCCCCTACGCTGGCCTTCAGATTCACGGTCAAAAAGCTTTCTGCTTGGCCACAGATACCTAAGCAGTTTAGAAACATCCGGGACATTTCAAATATTGTTCCAACTGGGGGTACATATTGAGTCTGTCAGAGGTGTCTTCTAGATCTAAGTGTTACCTGGGCATAACTTCAAAGCTGGGTTATTAGTAAGAATCTGTAGCACGATTTTCTGTGCGTAGCCTCAGTTTCCTAATCTACTAAATAAAGGACTTCTTTGTATAACCTCTGAGGCCCGGCCAGCTCAAAAACATCTACAGCTTTGTGTGGCTATTTATGTGTGTGTATGTAATATTTGGTCATAAAATCACCCCGTTTCTTCCTTCTGAAAGGAGCACTGACAATTAGTACCATTAGCAAGTAATCAAATTAATTCCACAATCAAGAGAAATAAATAATCAAAGGGAAATATTGCACTGTATTCTCCAGGGTAAAGTCAGGCAGCAGAGAGGGGCCACTGAGTCATTTAGATGGCATGTGGAAAACAAGCTGTTGAACCAGGCTCCTAAGCCCCATGTAGCCAGTGATTTGAGCTTGCAGGAGGTAACAGGACAAAAACTGTATGTGCAAAAGGCAGAGCTTCAAACGAGTCTGCAGTCAGAAGGAGCAGTGAGGGCCATTAGTCAGGAGTGTGATGGGATTCTGGCGGGGACAGGCAGAGGGCAGCTTTCCTGTACCACAAGAGGATGGGGTGGGGGGACACAAGAGCTCAGGGCTCACGTTTTTTTTCAGTAATGATAGCCACTCATGCCTGAGCGCGGCCAATCTCCATGAAAACAGCGTGTTCTTTTGCTCAAAGGAGACGTGGTAAACTTTACCAAGATACTATTATCTTGGCTACCAAAGTGAACTTGACATCCATCTCTTCCAAGATGCTATATGGCATAGGATAGGTATGTCCACAAGAGAAAAGTAACTAAGTCTCTGCACGGCTTTTCAGGAGCAAAGCGAGAAATCCCTCCAAGGCGTAGGTTACTGGGCGTGCTCTGCAACACTGCAGAAGAACTGTCCAGACCCCAGTGTCTCTGCGGTGGGGCCTGAAATTTACTAATGGTGAGGGAGATCTTTGCTTTGAAAAATGCACAGGATTTTTGGCCAATTCTGGAACTCCCCGTGGACTGGAAGGGATGTGATATAGCCTTAAACAGCAACCAAAGAGAAGCTTGCAGAACAAAACCATCCCGGATCACGCAACGCAGTCAGCAGGGAGCCCCGTGTGAGGAGGACACCGGCTGCTGGAGGCCAGTTCTCAGGCAGCAGGTGTCCAAGGCACTCGGAGGTTCAAAGAGAGGGCAAGATCCTCATTGGGATGCAGGCTCAGAAGAAAGGATGCTAGACTTCCGAGCTTTTGGAGGTGGGGGAGGCGGGACTTTGGCTTCTCTTCGGACAGGCAGCGGAGGAGCAATCTGCAGGAACAGACACGGAAAATCAGAAGTGAGTCTTACCTTCCCTCCCAAGTCTCCCTTCTTCCCACTTTCCGCTTTAGCTTCTAATTAATCGGGGTTTATCTGCACAGCCTTTGCAAAGTGAAAAGGGAAACAAGAAGGACTTGCCCTCCCTTGTTCCTCGAGCTAATCAGACACATACACACAATCACTGCTACATCCCCAACACTCGAGTTCCTGGCATATATATAGGAGGCACTCGACAGAGGTTTGTTGAATGAATATAAGAAACCCATCTGAGGCCATTCCAGAATGACTGTCCCTCACTTAGAAGAAGTAAACTTTTCAAATATGAACTAGAACTCACTTCTTATTTCACGCCCCTGTCCCTAGGGTGAGGTAGAGAGAATGTTTGTTCTACCTTCAATCATAGGAAAAAGTCTGCTTGCGTATCTTTTCTTCCTATTGAAAACTTCCCTATCTCTTGTGGTTTCAGGAATGAACCAAGAATCGACCACGGTGACAGTCTACAGGCAAACCCGCCCATTGAAAAGCTTGGAAAATCCACTGCCGTCTTCCCAGAGCGGTGCTCCCTGGCCACACTCGGCCGTCGCCTCCCTACCTCGGTGGAGTTCCTCTGGCTGCTCTCATAGGGCTTGCTTTTGGGGGGCGGCGGGGGTGGGACAGCAGCAGTCACCAGTCCATCTATCTGCAAAGACGGGGAGCCTAGAAATGACACGAAGTACACAGGGAGGAATGTATGAAAGAATCTCACAAAAATTCTGCTTCCCACTGTAAGCAGACCTAAGCACTGGCCTAAACCAACCCAGTCAATCAAATTGCTAAAGCCACATTCTGGTTTTTTTTTGTTGTTTTTTTTTTTTTTAATTTGTTTAGAGACAGGGTCTTGTTCTATTGCTCAAGCTGGAGTACAAGGGCACAATCATAGCTCACTGCAGCCTCGAACTCCGGGGCTCAAGCAATCCTCCTGCCTCAGTCTCCAGAGTAGCTGGATCTACAGGAGAGCGTCAACCATGCCTGGCTAATTTTATTTTTTGTAGAGACAGGGTCTCGCTATATTGTCCAGGCTGGTCTCAAACTCCTGGCCTCAGGCGATCCTCCCGCCTCGGCCTCCCATAGCGCTGGGATTACAGGCGTGAGCCATAAAGCCACATTCTATGGTTTCTGTGGACAGAATGAGAAAGACTTCTCACACCACATGACAAAGGTAACACCCTTCACTCGCCAGAGAGCTTCACAAGTTTCACAAGATCTT